AAAAAAAAAAAAAAAGATTGGGAGATTAATCCTTTCAGTTAGTTCTCAGTGGAAGCAATAAGACAGTGACTTTCAAACTGAACTAAGATGTCTTCTTAATTTTTATTTAAAACACATGTTTTAAAGCCAAAATTAAAACTGAAAATCACTGTTCTAGGACACTCCACTAAGAAATCCAAACCTTTTTCCATCTCTGTCTCTAAGGGCTAGTCTTTGAACTATTGGGAAGCAAGGACTCTGTTCTGTTTTTCTAGCACTTGAACTTGCCCAGCATATAGTACATATCCAGTACACGTTTGTGAAGCACTGGAGTTATTTATGCCGATCCATCTTCTCTGCTCTTGTAGTTCCTTTACCACCCATTCCATCTTAGGGGCTTTTTTTTTCTCTTGCCAGGTATTCTGGATACAGCCATTGTTGATCAGGGGAGGAATGTGGTGTCTGGTTCTCGAGACGGGACAGCACGACTTTGGGATTGTGGGCGCTCAGCCTGCCTGGGAGTCATTGCAGACTGTGGTTCTTCCATTAATGGAGTGGCTGTGGGTGCTGCTGACAACTCCATAAACCTCGGCTCCCCTGAGCAGACGCCAAGTAAGTTGATAACGATATGTTGAGCTTGTTTTGTTTCCTTAGGAACCTTCAGTGTTTGCCTTAGCTTCTCCTTTTCTTCCTCATCTTTCCTTGCTTTTTGGCTGGTATTTGTATTTTCACCATAAGTTTAATATTTAATGCATACCTACTATGTTTCTATTGCTTTGGAATCTACAGAGGAAGTATATGTCATTGTTAACTACATTTGAGTAAGTACAATCTAGTTTAGCAGATGAGACTGATGCCTATAAAAAACAAAAGAATTTTAGCTGAAACAACTTAATAATTCTTAATGCAAGTAAAATAGTTTTGAGTATTTCATATTTTAGGTTAGTGTAGATGAGAAAGGTGTCACAAAGAAGTTGACTTGAACCTTGGAGGATGAATTTGAGTTGAATAGACAAGAATGAGAAGGATGGGAGAATGGGAGCTGCGGGTTGGGCTAGGGGCAGTTCACATTAAAATAGTTTGGAGTTGAAATTGACTGTTGGGTAGAAACATATGTTTGGCTGGGTCAGAGGTTGGATTAAGAGTAGTAGTAGTGGGGGGCGCCTGGCTGGCTCAGTTGGTAGAGTATACAACTCTTGATCTCTGCGTTTTAAGTTTGAGCCCCATGTTGGGTGTAGAGATTACTTAAAAAAAATCTTTAGGAGCAGGGCCACCTGGGTGGCTCAGATGGTTAAGTGTCTGCCTTCGGCTGGGGTCATGATCTCCAGGTCCTGGGATTGAGCCCCACGTCGGGATCCCGGCTTAGAGGGGAGTCTGCTTCTCCCTCTCCCTCTGCCTCTCTCCCTGCTTGTGCTCTCTTTGTCTCTCTCTCAAATGAATAAATAAAGTCTTTAAAAAAAAAATCTTTAGGGGCACTTGGCTGGCTTAGTCAGTGGAACGTGTGACTCTTGATATTGGGGTTGTGTATTCAAGCCCCATATTGGGTGTAAGGTTTACTTAAAAATAAAATCTTTAAGAAAAGACTTTATTTTTTAGAGCAACTTTAGGTGTACAGCAAAATTGAGCAGAAAGTGCAGTTTTGGGGGTGCCTGGGTGGCTCAGTTGGTTAAGTGTCCAACTCTTAGTTTTGGGTCAGGTTGTGATCTCAGGGTCATGAGATTGAGCCCCGTGTCGGGCTCCACGCTCAGTGCAGAATCTGCTTAAGGATTCTCTCTCGGGTGGCTGGGTGGCTCAGTTGTTAAGCATCTGCCTTTGGCTCAGGTTGTGATCCCAGGGTCCTGGGATCAAGTCCCACATCGGGCTCCCTACTCAGCGGGAGGCCTGCTTCTCCCTCTCCCACTCCCCCTGCTTGTGTTCCTGCTCTCGCTATCTCTCTCTCTGTGTCAAAAAAATAAATAAAATCTTAAAA